GATTTTAAGGCCAAACATTCAATAAATACCATCGAACAGCCACCGTATTCACCTGATCTTGCACCGTGTGACTTTTTCCTGTTTCCCAACCTCAAATTACCACTCAGAGGAACGCGTTTTGAATCCATAGAAGACGTAAAACAGAATTCGCAGAGGGAACTCAAAGCCATACCGGAAAGCGCCTATAAAAAATGTTTTGATGATTGGAAGAAACGTTGGCATTTGTGTATCGCTTCTAATGGAGCATATTTTGAAGGAGATAAAATAAATATTGATGAAGATTAAGAATTTTGCGTTTTATTTAAAATTTCCGGAAACTTTTCGGTCACAATGTATTTGTATTATTTCTTCTTATTTCAAAAATATTTTTATTGGTTTAAATACTCTACTCTACTCTACTCAAACGCTATATTATAATAATTATATTTTTGGCTTGAACGTAAATTTACTTATTGTGGAATTTCAAGGTTTAATCTTTGAAAAATTGAACCAGGTGTATATCACAGTTTTTTTTCAATTTAAATTTCAAGAAACAAGAGAGTATTGTGAAGTGGTAAAGTACAAGTAGCAAGAGAGATGATATTTATAGATTTATAGCATCCTTAGTCGTATCCAATAGGTTATACTAGCACGCCCGTTTAGAGGCTTGCTGCCGCGTCACCTAGATCTTTTATCGAATACGCCACAATTCACACCAGCATTTACCGAATCCATAAACTTTTTACTCGTAGTATTTTTATCTATTTGCAAGAAACGATCAACAGATCGAACAAATAATAGAGATAGATAGAAACGAAAAATACTCTAACATTGTAAATCTATGACTATACTATAGTATAGTTAATTCCGTTCGAAAATCTTTTTCATTTGGAAACCCAATAACGTATATCTTGATCAATTTTAGCCACTTTTCATAATTTCTTATCTTGTTCTTCAAACAAGATCATAAAACATTAATTGGTTCGGGTTTTATGACAGAAACTTTGATTCAAGTAAATATTTTTTTGGCACTCTTTTTCGGTTTGGAGTCCAAACTTTGGACTCTATTTCGATTATTAATTATTAAAATTAATTATTTTTAATTAATTTAGCGAATATGAAAATAAATGTATTTATCAGTAAATTTTTACAAATTATGTAACCGTGCTAGTTAACTACTAGTACTTATTACTAGTGAAATTTTTGGAATGTGTGATCGAAGGTATTCCATATTCTTTTTATTTTTGATACTTGTTAAAAAACTACAAGCTCAGCTATTTTATTTGTATTAAATATTTATAGATATACTGTCCTTTCTTAAAGCTACATAAAACTTCAATCCGAATAAAAAACATTTAATATAATTTGAAGACCACGTTTAAGTCTGTTGGGATCTATTAAATTAATGTAAATTAATATCAATTAATTAAACAATTTAAAATAATAAAAATGGATCACATGAATTTAAAATATGTTCTCACTGACGTGTTCAATTTCTTTTGAAAATAATTATATATATTAATATATAATAATAATATAATAAGATGAAATAATTTATATAAGATATATTCCACTTAACAAATATCTTGTTAACCTTATAGTGAACAACTTTTTAAACGCACTTCGGATATGTTAGTCTCTGAAGGATATGCAGATGCTGGTTATGAATATGTTATCATTGATGATTGCTGGCTAGAGAAGGATCGTGATAATGTCACACAAAAATTGGTACCTGACGCCATACGATTTCCTAGTGGACTTAATGCTTTGGCTGATTATGTATGCATTACATAAAAATTATGAAAAAAAGATCATTTATTTAAAATTACTGTAACTTCTTGACTTACAGATACATCAGAAAGGTTTAAAATTCGGTTTATATCAAGATTATGGCACAAATACTTGCGCAGGTTATCCAGGTGTAATTAATCACATGGCATTGGATGCTAAAACATTTGCCGATTGGGATGTGGATTATGTTAAATTGGATGGTTGCTATGCCAATATTAACGATATGGATCAAGGTTATCCAGAATTTGGACGTTTACTTAATAAGACTGGTCGTTCAATGGTTTACTCATGTAGTTGGCCGGTATATCAAGAATACGAAGGCAAATTGGTAATATAGATAACAAATAAATAAATTTATTAGAAAAATAATGATGAACAAATAAATTTATTCAGCCTAATTATGAAGCATTGAAAGAGCATTGCAATTTATGGCGCAATTGGGATGATATCGATGACTCATTTGAATCTGTCGCGCACATCATGGACTACTTCTCAAAGAATCAAGATCGCATACAACCACATGCTGGACCAGGTCATTGGAATGATCCAGATATGGTATATAATAAGATATAAGATATGGTATATAAAATAATATTTATTTATATAAAATCTCTTTCCCAGTTAATTTTAGGTAACTACGGTCTTAGCTATGATCAAAGTAAATTGCAAATGGCAATTTGGTCTATATTAGCTGCGCCATTGATAATGTCAAACGACTTAGCAGCTGTGCGGCCAGAAATAAAAGCAATTCTACAAAATAGGTATAAAATCTATTTATAGTACTTATATGCTTACATATTCACAAATTGCAATAAATGAACATTTATTTTTGGCAGAGATATCATTGCTGTAGACCAAGATCCTTTAGGTATACAAGGTCGCCGTGTAACTCTCAGAAATAATATTGAGGTAGATTTTGTACATTATATATTAATTGTTAAATTTTGTAGTAAAAGTGAATTTTTAATTTCTTACAGGTTTGGACTAGACCTATCACCCCTGTTAGCACTTCAGGTGAATATTCATACGCTGTCGCATTTGTTAGCCGCCGTACCGATGGCGCACCTTATACCACTAAATTTATATTGCAAGAAATTGGTTTACGAAATATCCGTGGATATAGTGCTGTGGTACGCATATTCATTTATATAATATATGCAAATACTTTTTTAATAAACAAATATTATTTTAGGATTTGTTTGATTCAAAAATTCGTTTGGGAAAGTTTAAGTCGATAAGCACATTTGAAACACGCGTGAATCCTAATGGTAATAGATTTCAAAATGTTTTCATAAAGTTTTTACTCAATATTCATTTTTATTTTTTAGGTGTAACTTTCTTTAAATTTACTGCTTTATAAAATGTAATAAAATATTTAAAAATAAAACCAAACATTTTTTAGTTGTTTAGTGAACTTAAATTTAATAAAATATTTAACAGATAATTATTTTAATAGTTAAGAGCCTAACAAGTTCTTAAATACGTTGAATATATTCGTTTACATACTTAATCGAATATACCTACTAATTATAAGGAACATAAATTATAATTCTATTATGACAAACAATAGAATATAAAAACGTCATTAATATAGTACATATACTACATAAAACGATTAGTTCTCTTCATCTCAAATAGAGGAGCACACCGTTCTATAAATGCAGTAAATCGGGAAGCGGTTTATTCTACGTATCATAGCTACTTCCCATCGACGGCCAAGAGCCACTTCAAAGAAATAATCATATTTTTAATAATAGTAATATTAAAATCTCAAAATAGTGGTACAATTTTTGGTCGTTCTAGTCAAACGCATAGCCAAAGTAGGGTCTGCTGAGGCTGAAATATCTTTTGAAGTGAACCTATAACTACATATAAATAAATTGATAACAAAATGGTATTGTCTATACAAAAATCGAGTAGAAGTCTAATGCATCTACTAATGTTTTGTTAAAGTACATCGATGGAATGTGTTTTCCGGTAATTAAGTATGTACTTAGGATTTTCGCTATCCTATCAGTCACATCAGCTTATATTGCTTGATTATTTCCTGTCATGGAAAAAAATATGAACTACAGTAGAAAATGCAATTTTAACATTTTATTTATTTAAATTTTTTAGTAACTTGAACCATTATTCTATCTGGTTGTTAATTGTAGGATAATGTTAATAAATGAAGTTCTATGTATACTATATAAGGCTATCATCTATGCGGTACGAATTTCGTAAAATTTTTCTTTTTTTTTTTCTTTTTCTTTCTTTACGAAATACCAATAATTATATAGGAGTATACACTAATACTCCGATTTGCGTCGCCCTGATTTGTGTTGATTCGAATTGCGTCTCATTTTATCGGTGCCAATTAGCGATGCCCGTCGGTGTATAGTTGTATACATTTTAAGTAAGTCACACAAATAACTTATATATATTAGCACTATATTTTTTGGGAAGCTTTTTTTTTGGGAGATATTCTACTTAATGAAACGCTTGTACTTATATGTTATTGAGAAAGTCCAGGAGAAATTTTACCATAAGTGGATGACTGCTTTAAAAGGCTTGTAGGCAAGGTGTTTTTAACAAATTTATTAAGGTTAAGCCGTATGCTTAGATATAACTTTATCTTTAGTTAGGTATATTGTTTATCTAACACCTCTGCACTTCTTCAGCTCGTGGCAATAGTTTGGAAAATGTAACTCCACATTAATAAAAGTAAATAAATACTGTCATTCAAACCGTGTACGTTTAGTTTTAAGCACAACCATCACAATATTCTTTTAAAGGAGTCCAAATTAGGTTAAGACTGTAGGAACTCTGTGGGCTCTGATTTAGGTCTTTAATAAATTGTTGCAAGTGAAATTTACTTATTATCAATACGACGACGTCCTTTAGAGGCATTTGTATAATCATCAATCAACCTAGCATGCTACATATGTTTGACTACCTTATCATATAATAAGCAACTAGTTTCCAAATATTGTTTCAGGCTAATTAAGAGTATGGAGTAGTTGGGGCAATTCCAGTGGTAAACAATCGAAAAAAAAATTGAAATCCTTATAATAACACTGTAACTACATATTCAATATTTATAAACTCTTAAGTGTTTTAGTGAGAAAGACTCTTTAGATTTCTGATAACAAAATATTAAATTTGAGCAGTAATTATTTGTAGTAAATTATTTTTTCATATATATTTCCTTAAAATCATATACATTCATATATTTATAAATTAAAATATTTAACAAGCAGTAAAAGCCTATACATAATAACTAAACAATAAAACCCTGAACCAATGAAGGTGCATTAATGTCCATAATACAAACAATTAATATTAAATTAATGTACCTCCCTTTTAACATATAGCATTATTCAACCTAAAGTATTTGTAATTTATATACTTGCATTATATATAGTATAATATTCTGTCATGCATACAAATAGTTAAAATTAAGTTTTGTACATTAAAATATAAATAAATTATTGTCACACGATTTCTATTTTATGAATTCAAACTGTTTAATGAAGTGCATTATCTGAAAGTAAAAAAAAATATTTTAATTAAGATGTGTGGGCAGTTAATATCAGGTTAGAAATACCTTAAAGCTAATTCCACTTAAAGCACCGTTTAAATTACACAACGTCCAAACAGTTACCTTCCTTTTGCAGGAAGTACTACAGCTATCCTTTGCTCCATATTTTTAGTGAACTCCATTTGAAATGGTAGGCGTGCGTTCATAGGTACGTCGATGCAACTCATCAACATTTTTGAGGTAGTATGTGCCTGGAAATAGCGCACTTATGCTGCCGGTTGGCGTGTACGGTGCAGCATGGTTGTTCTTCTCCCTTACTTCCATTAATTCTGAAAAAGTTTCTGGTGCTACTTTCTCCCTTGAGTTCAGTGCTGGTAAAACATAGTTCAATTTTTGTACAAATTTTTCGAAATCTTTTGCGTCCTGTGTAACTGCAATGGAGTACATCGAGGCTGCTAAACCCGAGCCGTATGAAAATACTCCAATACGTTTTCCAAGTAGCTCCGCAGAATTGACATTGACCAAAAGCGAAGCAAGACCAGAGTACACAGACGGCGTATACATATTTCCCACTTGATTGGCGAGTAGTAAGGACTTTTTGGTTTTCGATTCAAATACATTATTAAATTGTGTCATAAAAGCTTTTTCCACATCACGATCGAAGTACGTTGACTCAAGTGTGGAGTTATCGAAACGTTCTAAACCAACATATTTGCTGGCACGCTTTTCCTTGTTTGTTAGTAAATAATCATTAAAGCACAAGCGTGCTACAGATTTCTGCACTAATTTGCAGAATGGCGTATGAAAGAGTATTGCATCGAAATTTTCTAAACCCAAATCGGCGGCTTTAGGATTTCTTTTTTCGAGTTTTTTACGATATAATTGATAGCACGTGTCAAGTGCAGAGAGGTAGCATTGTATAGATAATTTACCATCAACAGTCGGATATTCGGAACTGAGATCTGGTTTATAAAAATCATAGGCGTGCTCCATATGTGTTGCCCTTAAACCACGTTCAAGAACGAGGGGGGCGTTTGGTCCCACAAGCATTGCAATGGCGCCAGCACCACCAGTTGGACGTGCAGCTCCTTTTGCATAAACAGCAATATCTGCACAAACTGCCAATGCATAACGACCATCCCAACTAGATGATTCAATCCAGTTGACTGAGTTGAATAATGCAGCTGTACCACCATAGCATGCATTTGTCGTATCAATTCCTTCAATATCTGTATTGCCACTATCGGCAAATAATTGCATTAGCACTGATTTCACAGATTTCGATTTATCAACTATTGTTTCGGTGCCCACTTCTAATCGACCGATTTCGGTAGGCTTTATGTGATGTCGCTCCATTAAACGACTTACAACCGTTAGGCAGAGTGAGTTAACATCTTCTCGATCCGAGCAAAAACCCATTTTCGCTTGACCCAGTCCAATTGTATATTTTCCAGCTGATGCACCATCAAACTGTTCTAGCTCGGTTTGGTCAACATATTGTGAAGGGAAGAGGACTTCTATAGCGCATATACCAACATTTTCAGGCCACGACATAATTTCAATTTTTATTTAATAAATTTATTGATAGTTATATACAATTAAATTGTTAGTTTTGATATTATAGTTATTAACTAAGAAAGTCTGAAATGAAAAAAATATTGAGGCATAATTAATATACATATACATTGATCAATATATTTTTTATTTTAAAAATTAATACGGTATTTTATATTATAAGAAAATAATTAAAAGATAAATTTTGCGATTAATTAAATAATATAGTGTTAAAATAAGTAAAGCTGTAACTTATAAGCAAGTTTACGTAATTTCAAGTAAAACTTGGACAAGAGATCTTCGGTCATCTTTCTTTCCCATGAATGGGAGTCTACCACCTTTTTTATCAATCGGATTTTTTACTTGTCATGTGATATCATATCAAGTGTGAAATATTAATGATGAAGTCGTTAGATAAACTAGCGGAAGACGACCCTTTAAGTCTGATACATACACCACATACTCGTAAAAGAGGTGAAATAGTGCATTAGGATCTCATTTGTAGTACTTAAGTTAATTAAATTACAATATTTAAGAATTGTCTAGCTTGTGATAGGATAAGGTAATTAATTAATAATTAATAAGTAATTAATTAGAATAAACAACATTACTGATACAAAGGACGTAGCGTTGCAGCGCGAAAGATGGAAGCGACTTGCAATATAGACAGTATATGCCCAGTATAAGAGGCTGCTCGAAATATTTGACGTCGAGTAAGGCTTATTATTATTATTATTATTATAAATAATTAATTAGTACACTAAGTAATGGGAGTTAATGGCAGTCAATGTAAGAATATGTTACGTTGACTGTGAAAAAAGATTTATTATATTTAATTTAATTTTGTTTATATTAAAAATTCAATACAATAGCAACAAAGAAGAAAGTATATTTTACAAGTCATTAGTTAATTTTTTTTAATTCAGTTGAATTTTTAACAGATTAGATATATTTTTTTTCTTGTACTTTTAACCATTTTCAATGTTTGACTTAATTTAGTATTGGTGTTAGTAGTGCTTAGATTTGCTTTTTGATAAAAACTACATTCAAATTTAAATCGTTTAAAGATAGATAAAAATAAAGATTGAAGATAGATCGTTTCACACAGTATATTTATCAATAACGGCTAGATTTGTAATTTGATTATAATTATGTTTTTGTTGTTGCTCAGTATTTTGCATTGTAAATGTTGTAGCCCAGTTAGTGTCATCGTTAGCATTGATAGATTTATTTGCTATATTGAAACTAAAACAGGTATTAGTCGTTGGGTATGAGTGGTTACTGGTCATGGAACTAGACTAAATTATATGAGTAACTTTTAGTCATTAACTATGGGTAGTTAGTGATCTTCTAGAACTATAATCCATAATCACACTTTCTACACAGTTATTTGACCAATCGTTTAGTAATTTCCATTTTTCAGGTTAAAGTTATATCCTTTCGTACTATGGAAATTGGTATAGGGATTTTATCACAAGTATTTTAACATAAGTCGGTGAATTTTTTAAGAAAGTAAAAGCTAATAGAACCTTTTTTTCATTCTTATTTTTTTCTACTCGCAAAATCAGTATTTGAGCTACGCAATGAGTTCCTTGAGTCGGGGAAGAAATTAAAAAATTTATTGCTAGCTGTAGTATTTTACCTAGATTTACAAAATGTATGAAAGTGGCAATACTGACGCCTCATTTTTTTGATGTTGTCTGGTGTGTAATTAATGGGAATAGCTCAACAGCATGAATTGTGAAATTACAGAATAATGCATAAACTTGCTATTATCTAAAAAAATTTCACATACTTAAACTAATTTATTCGAATGGTGAAAAATACAACACTAGAATAATCCATTTGCTAGTCTTAGTCCAAATCCAACTCTTTTGTTTCTCTCGAAATTTAATTGGATGTTTTGAGTTACACTAAAAAGTAACTGCTAATATGAAACAAAAAATTAATTGCTAAGACAACTGTTTTTCCAGGCTTAGCCTCATGTAAGCTTTTTCTAAAAATGAACTTCAATCTTCCTAATAATTGTTTTGAATGGAAGGATGAATTAGAAAAGAAATTATTGAAGAGTCTACTACTAAATATGCTGACAATGGTACTTCTAAAAATTAATAAAGCACCAGTATATAACATATAGATGGCATTATTTTGTAGATGACAAAAAAAAATAAAAATTTGAAAAAATAATGACTCGATTCTCTGTCATATACTATTTCGGGAACTAATTAAACAAAATGTATTTTCTAAGTTTATATTGTTAATAAAGGTACTTCAATAAAAATATTTTGTATATCATTAATTTTTAATGACTTAATGAAGAGTATTTATATTTATATATTTTTATTATACATTTAAATATTTGTTAATAACATATATTGAATTCATATATTATCATTCTTCTATTATATGTTAAAATTTCTACTAAAGTCGGCTCATGAAAAATATTATTAAGTGTAGTTTCATTACTGACATATGTGTTCAGTTCAGAATGAAGATTATTTTAGAGAAAATAAAAATAAATTAAAATTAATGTTTTAATGACCCAAGATCCAATTAATGATTTAAGTTTCCTAAGAGTTTGTGTTTCCTAAGAGGAAGGCATTGCAGAAGGCATGTAAACTTATATATATTAAAAAACTTTTTCACATAAAATTAAATATAGTTTATAAGTGCTAATTTCTTATGAAAATTTTATTTTTATATATTTTTATTGTAAATTGAAACCATTTTCTTTTTATTTTGTTAATTATGTACAATGCATAATAATATATTTTTTTTTTATTATTTATTTGTTAATGTTTAAGTTT